GACAGAGACACAGGCAGAGGGAGAAGCAGGCTCCCTGCAGGGAGCCCGATGTGGGACTTGATCCTGGACACCGGAATCTCGCCCTGAGCCGAAGGCAGGTGTCAAAGGCTGAGCCACCCAGGCATCCCACCCCTTGAAATTTAAAGGAGCAAGAGACTTGCCTCTGATGAGTGACTCCAATGTATTTTTTTTTTTTTATCCGTTTGGACTGCTATCTCCACACGCTCTTGGAGGGTGCCACACGTTTGAAAGCTGCATGCATCCTAACTGCACACACACATTTGAAAGCCCCTGCTCTTATTCCATTGTTTATTTATGGATGTGTTCATTTCTTTCTCTTTTTAAAAAATATTTTATTTATTTATTCGTGAGAGACACAGAGAGAGAGAGGCAGAGACACAGGCAGAGGGAGAAGCAGGCTCCATGCAGGGAGCCTGATGCGGGACTTGACCCCGGGACTCCAGGATCACGCCCTGGCCCGAAGGCAGGTGCTAAACCACTGAGCCACCCAGGGATCCCCTATTCATTTCTTTCTTGTCTTTATTCCCCATCTCCATAGACAATCATAGTAAAATGTGCTTAATGCACATGTTTAATTGAAGGCGATCCTTTAAAAAGGTACAGTCTTGCTTCACGGGTGCAGGTTTTAATTTCATGTAAACAAGGAAGAATGTGGCCTCTTGAGCCAGACAGCTTGGATTCAAACCCACGCCCTGCCACGTACTGACTGTTGATCTAGATCCACTTAACGTTGCCTTTGTGGGTCTCTGTTTCATCTTCCATAAAATGGCTTTGATAATAGCAACCTGCAGCCCTGGCTGGCTTGCGATGATTAAATTAGTGAGTACAAGTGAGGTCCTTGGAGGGGAGTCCGGTGGGTAGTCAGCCCTCCACAGGGGTTAGCTACTGTCATGACTAGTCTGTCTTTAAAGACAGGCTGATCTTTGTATTCCTCACCAAATGCTAGAGAGAGACATTGATTAATTTAGTTGATTGGCACTTGTTCATGAGGAGCGAGTGTTTCCCACCAGCTGATGTGTGGGCTCCTTTGAGGTCAGTTGCTCAGCCCCGAGGCCAAATAAGTGGCCCCTCTGGGCAGAGAACAGCCTAATGGCATTTGCTGAGCAGGGCTTTTGGGCAGGACCACGGTGGTTAAAAGTCCGAGTCCCGTGAAATGATAGCAGCCACACAGTGGGCGAAACAGGGCAAATTTAATATAAAGAACACTGGCTGTGACAAAAGAGTAACTGTACGTCCTAAAGCAATGCCAAGGAAGGACAGACTCAGGAGTTCAGATCTCCCGGAGAAGGTGTGGTTCAGCCACGGGGCAGCAGGAAGGTGGTTGCTGGTTTGGGCCAGGCCAGAGCTGGTGAAGCTGCTGGACCAGCCCTAGGTCACCCCCCAGGAGGCACAGGTCCTGGCATGGGGCGGAGAGGGGAGCCCTTCAGAGCTCGGGGCTGCAGGATCTCAAGGGAGTCCCGCTGGAGGTCCTCACCACACCCACACCCCTTCTGCGCTGGAAGTAGGAAGCCTCTTCCTTCTCCGTGTCCCTCCAGCACCCTCTACTGAGAAATCTTAGCACAGCGCTTACTTTAAGGAGATGCTTGAAGAAATCCCAGGGAGGATCCAGAACATCACACAGAGAAGGATGTGCGCATCTCTGAGAGGCCATGCACAGCCGCTGACGCACACGCCGTGCTCCACTCGCTGTCAGGCTAAGTCACGGGGCAACCACCCGTCTGCGTCGGCGCTGGGCCCTTCTGAAAATCACTGGAATAAGTCTGATATTTTTTGCATTGACCATGTGCCAGGTGTCGCCGTCCTGGTGCTGAGGGGGCCGACGGGAACGATGCGCAAGGGTCTTGTGCTCACGGGGCCCACATTCTAGAAAGGGAAACCGATAAGCTAAGATACAAGAAAATGTTAGGCAATGGTCAGTGCCGTGTTGAATAAAACAGGCTGGTGGGCAGGTCAAGGAAGTGCTCTCTGAAGGGGTGACATTGAACCCGAGGTGTGGGTGTCAGGAGGGGACACGGGGTGGGCGGAAGGGTGGAGGAAAGGCATCCCAGCCCGAAATGCTAAAATACATCCCTGGGATTCCAAGCATCCCTAATGTACCAACACTTCCTGTTTCGCAGATAAGAAAATCCTATGTATGAGCTGATAAGTGAATCCATTCCTTCACATCTATTTATGTGTTATTTTGATGTGAGTTAAAAAAAAAAAAGGCCACTTGCACCATGTTGCTGTATTTCCTTGCAGAGGCTTAGATGTTCCAGGTGAAGTTTATTTGTGGCTCAGTGGCTGGGTCGGCCCACCTGAGGGGCTGGGGTAGGAGATGAGGAGTGGCTTTTAGGATGCGCCTCCACCCCACGCCTGGCTTCTCAGAGATTGTCCTTCCTCCCTTCCTTCTCTAGCACCTTCGTGCTCCGCCTTCCTGCAGGAACCAGTCTGGGGGGGGGGGGGGGAGGGACACCTGCGCCCTTGTGCTCTGTTGACACAGGCATCCATTAAGTACTTTTCTCCTGGGAAGATGCTCGATGAAAAGTCTCCCTCATCCCTCTTCCGTCTCTGCCATCAGATCTCCTGTGTCACCAGCGACCACTTCTCAGAGTGTCGCAGCCCCGCTCTGCGCCACCGTGTAGAGGAGCACACGCTTTAGCGTGTTACTTCGTCCCAGGCGTATCCGGGACACAGAATTTCCTACAGTGCTGCCTTTGGCATAAACTGCAGGCAGATGGAAGAGGTATTTGTGGCTCCGGGTAGGGGATTTACCCATCTATGTATGCTCAAGGCTGGTCCAATATAAAACCAAATGAGGCCGTTTTTGTTTCTTGCGTGTGATCCAACGATCTCATTTTCTGTTCCCGTTGGACCTCCTGGTTGACACACAAAATAAACAGCGATGGATGAATGGGTCAACGGAACATGGTCTATACTTACAATGGTGTAGCATTCAGCATTAAAAAGGAAGGATCTAGGGCAGCCCGGGTGGCTCAGCGGTTTGGCGCCGCCTTCAGCCCAGGGCGTGATCCTGGAGACCCGGGATTGAGCCCCACGTCGGGCTCCCTCCATGGAGCCTGCTTCTCCCTCTGCCTGTGTCTCTGCCTCTCTCTGTGTTTCTCATGAATAAATAAATAAAATCTTAAAAGAAAAAAAAAGGACGGACCTACTGACACCTGCCACACAGCATGAATGAACCTTGAGGACATGATGGTGAGTGAAATAAGCCAGGCCCGAAAGACGAGTGCTGTGTGATGTCTCCCACATGAGGCCTCTGGAATAGTCAGATCCATAGGGGCAGAAAGTAAAATCGGATGTGCCGGGGTGGAGGTGTGTGCAGGAGGGGTGGGGTAGGAGGGATGGGGGAGTCAGTGCTTCATGGAGACAGAGTTTCAGTTTGGGGCAGGCCAAGAATTCTGGAGCTGGATGGTGGGGGATGGTGGGGATGGTGGGGATGGTGGGGATGGTGGCACCGCGGTGTGCATTTCTCAACGCTACTGAACCGTACGCTGAAAAGTGGTCGAGATGGTAGATTTTATGTTATGTATATTTAATGGTCAAAATAAAATGGGAAGGTCACGTGTCCTGGGGTTGCAGACTCTGCTAGTTTGGCCTGGAAGGAGAGGGGAGGAGAAGCAGGTATGGAGTCCCTAAAGCTGCCGGGGACAGCCTGAGGCTCTCCGGGGCAGCTCATTCTCCAGGGAAGAAGCACCATTTCTTCCCTTTTCCCCTTTTCCCCTTTTCCCCTTTTCCCCTTTTCCCCTTTTCCCCTTTTCCCCTTTTCCCCTTTTCCCCTTTTCCCCTTTTCCCCTTTTCCCCTTTTCCCCTTCCCCCCCTTCCCCCCCTTCCCCCCCTTCCCCCCCTTCCCCCCCTTTCTCCCCCTTTCTCCCCCTTTCTCCCCCTTTTCCCCTTTTTTCCCTTTTCTCCCCTTTTTTCCCTTTTTTTCCCTTCCCTCTTTCTTTGCTTTTCTCCCTGGCCAGCACACTTTCTGCAAATGACTTTCTCCACATCCTAATCCCAGTGCCACCTGAGCACAGAGCTCAGAGCTCCGACACTGCAGATGGTTGTGCCTCCTGCGCAGTTATTGTTGAGGAAGGCGAGCCCCACCCCAACTAGTGGAGCTTGCATGGGGTCCTTCCTTCCTCATTCGTGCTTCTGAAGAAGCAAATGTAAACGGCCGTTCTTGACAGATTGTATCTGTTACTGAATGCGTCTTGGGGCTGTAATTTGGCGGAGTCTTGAGCATGTTGCATTATGCATCCCCCCCAAAGCACTTCCCTGGGTTTCTCCCATTTCCCAGGATGTACATAAAGGGATGGCTATTCCCCATAATTGCATCTCTAACGTCTATGAAATGCGCATTTACCAATCAGCAAGCCAGGTGGGTGGCCAACTCTTAAGGGTCTGATGGACTGAAGCCACTCCAAAGATCAAGTTGCGTCAGGCCTCCGATCGCCGTGGTCTCTGATGCAGTAGATTATTTCGTGTTTGGTCTATGCAGATGCTGGTTTCCTCAGAAGTCTATGTGCTCCTAGAAGGAGTCGAACCGCTAAGGTTTGGAATCCTGGAACATCTGGAAGAAGAAACAGCCCCGAGTCACGAGTCTCCGACATTGGCCCGTTGCTGTGGTATTTGAAGAAGTCCAACAGAGGTGACAGTGTCGGTGGCTGGTTGTGCGCCGTCCCCGGTGTGGGCACGCTCTAGCAAATCAGGTGTGCAGCCAGTGCATTTCCCCAGTTCCAGTTCCCTCCGGTTTGAGAGCGGAGACACCCTCTGGAATGAGCAAGGGAGCTCCTACAATTTGCCCGTCACGGATCGCACACATTCTTCTTTCTGCTTTTCTCCATTTTTGAGAGACTTTATAAAAACAAACACCCGTGGAAGCACAGTGCTTCCTTCCGATGACGCATCCTGTTGGGCTCGGAGTCAGCCCTTGCGTGTGGTCGGTCAGGTCACCGCCCGCTGCAGATGCTGCGTCAGAACTTGGTGACATGGGATCGTCGGGTAGGATCATCCTTACCTGTTCCCCCTTTGGGAGGGCAGATGCGAACGTGATGATCGGATCTTGTATGATTCGTGGTTAGTGTCTCGGCGTGGCCAGGACCCTGGTCACTCCTGTATGATTCTCCGTGGGAAATAATAATAATAATAATAATAATAAAAAGAACCGGGGATGCCTGGGTGGCTCAGTGGTTGAGCGTCTGCCTTCGGCTCAGGTCAGATCCCAGAGTCTTGGGATCGAGTCCTGTATTGGGCTCCCCTGCAGGGAGCCTGCTTCTCCCTCTGCCTGCGTCTCTGCTTCTCTCTGTGTGCCTCTCATGAATAAATAAATAAAATCTAAAACAGAGAGAGAGGGAGAGAGAGAAAGGCACAAAGCTTGCTGGGTGGCCACGGGTGGGGGTGGGGGTGGGCGGCGATGGGAGGGGAGTGAGTAGTGAACATGCATCCGCACATGCCTTGTGCAGTCTACCACACATGCACCCTAGAGGTGCAGCGTGAAACCTGCGCAACTGCATTCGGTAGCCCTGCGTTAGCTCGGTGGCTGCAGGGAAGGATCCTCCTGCGCAGGTTATGGGAGGTAAAGTCGAAACAGTACACCGTCCCGGGATGTGGAGCTGGGAGGACCACATCCAGACCTTGAAGATTTTCTAGGGGACGGATGACTTCACCTACAAAGTGGATGGTTGGAGGGTGAGTCAGCATTTGCAGGCGGGATGACTGTGGGCTGAGCAGGGCAGGGAAGCTGTGACACCAGACGAAGCTTTGAGCCGAGTATTGGTTGTCAAAGCTTCCTCATGGTCCCTTCCCTGCTCTCTCTGAGGAAGCCTCTTGGCCACCCCCACAGACCTGGAGCTGCTTCTGGAACATCACATGCCCCGTGAATGTCTGCTCTGACCCTTACAGGCTGGCTCGTTCCTAAATGCCGCCTCCTCTGCTGAGTCTCAGATGAGGCGGGACACGTGGCGTTTGCTCCAAAGGCTCCTTCTGGTGACTCGCATCTCAGCTCCTAAGGCACGAGCCCCCCCGGGCAGCAAGGAGCCAGAGGTTGGGGGATGTAACCTTCTCATTTCACTGGTGAGGAAACTGAATCCAAAGGGACAACGGCTCTGGAGAGGACACTTGTGGAGGCAGGAGTGAAACCCACACAGACGTGTGAAAGTGCTGTCCCCCGGGATGATGCGGAGGGCGTGTGGGGTCAAGGAGAGAACCTCTCTGGTGACTCCCCAGCCAGCCCGAGCCCCCCGGTTCAGCTCACCTGGTCTTGGAGGTCCCCGTGCCACGCACTTCAGCTCCAAGGTCATGACGCCAACGTGCCCATCGACGACCGCGTTAGGGAGTCTGGACGTCCCTGGTCCGACCGTAACTCCCAGGACTGCCGAGGCGCCCGAGGCCGGGAGACGGGCGGTGGACGATTCTCCAGCCCCCGGGAAGAGCCAGCACCTCGGTGCCAGACCTCTGGCCTCCAGGGTCGCCAGAGAATAAAGTCCCGTTGTCTCAAGTCCCCCAGATTTTGGAAACTCTTTGGTGGCTGCGCTAGGAAACGGACACAAGCACGATGCAAGATTCCTTCGTGATTCTGTGCTGGAGCCAAAGTCCTCGAAGAGGATGTGTGCTGTGGTGCCTGCTGGGACGACGGGCGTGCCTGTCATTCTCCAGTCACGGAGATTTCTCCGTGGGGAATGTGGGAGCCTGTCTTCATGCCATCGGTGTCCTCAGCAGAGCCAACTCGGAGGCCCCTGGGAGTGCCCTGCCCCAGCAACTCCGGGCCGCCCCCTGCCCACCTGCCTGCCTGGCCCTGGGGAGCCCGTCTGTGTGCGTCGTGTATCCTCTGCTGGGTACTCGCACCAGCCAACCATGCCGTGTCCACTCGCCCTCTCCCGTGGGTCTTGCCCCTCTTGGCTCTGCCGACACCTGCTACTAGCTGAGGACAAGTGTCCCATGGCCTGCTCTTGGTGCTCGGGACCCCAGGGCAGGGGACTGGGCAGTGCTAGTCCCGGTCTGCCTGCCCTGGTGCTTAGGAGGCCCGCGCCTCCTTACATCACTGCCCCCATCTCTTCTCCTATTGTCCTCTGGGCCATGCCCCTTGTCGTGGGGGTGGAGGGCCTCGGGCCTGGACGCATGGTCTTCCTCTGCGCTCCGCACCCTGGCGTCCTCACCCATGCCAACTTCCCCCTCCTCCCTGGTGGCTTCTCACCCCATGTCAGTTTTCCCTCTCAGACGTTGTCATTTCCAGAACTCTCCCCTGTTCTTCACAGCCAGACTTGGTGGGAAATCACCTGCACCCATGGCTTCCATCCCCCACAACCCCCAGCTTCCCATCACCCGGCATCTTAGCCCCGAAATGGCTGCTAAGTCCATGAATCCTGCAGCCTGTGTCACCGTGAACCTCACTCTCCCTAGAAGATGCTCATACCAGATCCTCAGCACTTGCACACTCACCTGGTCCCTGTCTCCCTGCCTGCTCTTGCGCCTCCATGTGTTTATGACATCATCCTCCCGCCCTCGGATGCTGAATGTCAGGGCTCCTCAGGGTGACCCAATCTCAGGCATGTCTGTCGTTTCACTAGCAACCCATCCTGATAACTCCTCGAGGTGCATCTATGTCCCAGACCCTGTCCTGAGCTCCTGCTCCGGGGAGCCACCCTCACCCACAGGACAACTCCATGTGGTTTCTTGGGTTGCTCCAACTCAAATGTGTGACCTCAAATGAAAATGAATTCTGGTTTCCTAAAGCTATTTTACCTTCTTGAATTTCTGTCTCTGTCTTTGGGAACATGGTAACATCTTCTATCAAGTCACCCAAGCCAGAGACCTGGGTGTTTTCTTTGACTGTGCTTCCTCTCCCTCACTTCCCACATCCACTCCTTCATCTCATGTTGCTTCTAGAAGTGTCTCTAGATACTCCAGTTCTCTCCATTTCCTCAACAACTACCTCCTCTGCCACCTTGGATCTGGATGGTTGCCGCAGCTCCCAACTGTGCTTTCAGTCATGAGCCTCTGCAATGCTCTCCAAACTGCAGCTGGAATGTTCTATCAGAAATGCAGGTATGATCACGTCTCAATTTGCTTAAACCCTTCAGAGGTTCCCCATGGTCTCATTAGTGCTGTAGGATGCCTTCCTGTCCAGAGCCCCCTTTTGTCCCTAGAACTCTGACCCCTATCATGGTGTACTGCTCGCGGTACACGGCCATGGTAGCCATTCTTGCTCTCTCCTCTCCTCCTCTCCTCTCCTCTCCTCTCCTCTCCTCTCCTCTCCTCTCCTCTCCTCTCCTCTCCTCTCCTCGTCTCTCTCACTGCTAAGCTAAGCCTTTGTCCTTAGATTTTCCTCTGTTTGGGTCACCTGGCCCTCCCTCTGCCTCCATCTCTTGTTGACCCAGCCAACTCTTATCATCCATCCATCCATCAGAACTGACTCCACCCTCTCTCTACAATGGTCCTCAATCCCTCCCCTGGGTGACATGGTCTCACTTAACTCTTTGTCACCCTTGCATGCAGCTTACAATGCCTCTTCACTTGTTGTGTTGCCCTCCAGTCTGTCAGCTCTGATCTGTACCTGTTTTGCTCACTATTCTGTCCTTGGTGATTAGCACATCACTGTTGTTTAGGAAGTATTTATTCAATGAATGAATAAATGTGAGTTAAATGGGTTGGATACCCCATGGGGCTGATATCCAGCTCATTTAGAGACAGGTAGATAGTTTGACTATTTTAGATTCGTCATATAAGTGGGATCACATAATAGTAGTCCTTCTGTGTCTGGCTTATTTTACTCAGCATAAACATCCTCCAGGCTCACCCATTTTGTCCCATATGGCAGGACTTCCTTCTTTCTGAAAGCAGAAAGTAGGGTGGTGGTTGCCAGGGTCTAGGGGGAAGTGGGTGGGAGATGTTTAGCTAAAGGTACAAGACTTTAGTTATACAACTCCTAGAGACCTACTGTGCAGCGTAGTGCCTACAGTGAATCATTTCGTATTGCATACTATGGTGCATAGATGTGTGAAGGGGGAGATGTCATGTTAAGTGTTCTTACACACAAAAAGAAAGCAGGCAGGAGAAAATTTTTGGAGGCGATGGATATGTTCAGGTCATTGATGATGGTCATAGGTTTGTGGGTGTATGTTCCAACATTGAGGTATGTACTAAATATGTACAGCTGTTTGTAAGTTAGTCATATCTCAATCAAGTGGTTTTAGAAAATAAGAACACAGGTAGACAGTATTACTTCTGTGTGATAATGCTAAGCCTGTGCACATGGAGGTTGGAGCATCATTGCTATGGCACTCAGTGGGTACGTGAAGGTCACATCAGGACTCTGCCTGGGAGCTTCTGTTCCAGGATAAGAGTCAGGGCTTGCAATAGCTCAGTTGCCTGAAGAAATGGTTCAAGTCATAGCTGGATGTGGTTTCCTGTCCCTCATGGGAAATGTCACCTTGTTTCACATCAAAGCCCGTGTTCCTGCCACTTCTCAGGGAGATGCTTGGAGCCCTGCAGCACCAGTGCTGGGAAGAGGATGGGGCATCAGAAAAGACATGGTCTTGGGCCAAGTGAAGGGTTGACCTTGTCACCTTCAGATGGCACTTTGGCCTGTGGGGACTTCTCTGGAGAAGAAGGAAGAATGCTGAAATTCACTTTTGGGGAATTTAAAGACACACCAAAGCATTTTTAGGACATTGTTCAATGATTCTCCATGATTTTGTTTGGTCAACTTGCAGAAATATTCTCTCTAATCTTAGACAGATTTCCTACACTTTTTCCACACTCAGTTTCCTCATCTGTAAGGTGGGGGCAATGTCTGCTCATCTCAGAAGGATGACTTCCAGAGTACAGGGGATGGAAGGACACCTTATCCCCCATATTTACTTGTGCTGGGCACCTAGCTCTTTCCCAGTGCCTGCAGACCAGCTCAGCACTGGAGATGGAGCCCACAAATGCATGGAGTCCCAGGTGGTACCCAGGTTAGATACTTGCTCATTAGGAGCACTGGGCCAGGCACCTCTTTGATGTGCAGGGTATCTTAGCTTGTGGTTTGGGTCACAAAAGGAAGGATGAAATGGGATGAAGACCATCTTGTACCCAGGCTGTTGAGTTAACTGACTGTAAGCAGATTTCCCTACCAGTAAGGA